ATATATATATATATATATACACACATACATACACACACACACAATTACCTTTTTTTAAATATATGTTTTATAAATAAAATGTTGTCTCCTGTTTAGGAATATTCTATCATACTGTGAACCTTGAGTTTGCATTTGCATTAATTAAATAAAATCCATCTTGGGTCAGGAGGCTGAGTTAGCAACTAACTCACAGAAATTAATCACAGAGAGTCCTAGGTGTCTAAGCAGAGAGATGCACAGGAAGTAGTAGGAAGGGACTTGGTGTAGCGTGGCTTTTGTTTTGGTAAAGCATCAGGATGCTCTCTTTTGGAGATACCAGCAAAGAAGAAAGCCAGCTAGTTGCTCCTCAACCTCTCTGAGCTAGCAGGTTTTCACCCCTGCCTTTGACGCCTGAGTCTTATTGGTAAAGAGAATGATAGAGACACAATTAAAAGCTGTATTTGGAAGCAGTGACATAGCCTATGACTGTGGGAACAAAATTCCTGCCAGGCCAAGGCATGAGCAGCTGGGCAGCTGCCAGAGAAGCCGGCCGGTAACTGCAGAACCACATTCCATGGCTAAAACAGCAGCAGACTTAAGTGTCAGTGGAAAAACAAGCCTCCTTATAGACTGAGTTCAGTCCTTTACCATTTCCTTGTTTAGACGGAACAATGGAGGCTTGGTCCACTGCAAAGTCCTACAGAATATAGCAGGTTATTGTTCTATCCACACATCCATTCATCTATACCTTAACCACCCATGACCCCATCACCTGTCTGTATGTCTTCTTCTTCATCACCCATCATCCAACCCCCACCCCCAATCCATGCACACTAATTTACCCATGGCTCCTTTCTTTGGGTACCTCTTTGCCCTTCACAGATAATTACATGACATGTTAATTTTTCAAGTATACAAAATAATACATGGTGAAAAATTAGCCTTTCTCTCCTAACGCACAGAATTTCAAACCACCTCCAAGGCAAGCTTTCCTTGCTAACAGATTAGTTTTCCTTCCAGATATCACCCAAATGCAAATGATTTAATTTTCCTTAAAGGTACCGTGAAGCCAACTCATTTTACACCTGGCTTTGAGAAAGTTTTTTCTTACAAGGTCTCAGCACAAGTTGCCTTCAAACTGCAGATAGAACAGACGTTGTCTTGAATTCCTGATCCTCCTCCCTCCCCCTCCAGAGTGCTAGGATGGCAGGCATTAGAGGCATGGACCACCACACCCAGTTTTCTGTGGCACTGATAACCCCCAAGGCCTGAGGCACTCTGGGTAAGCACTGTTCCTGCTGGACCAGGGCCACAGCCTTTCCTTTTTATTTTTTAAACCTAACTGACACTTGAAGCCAGCTTCTTTCTTTTCTTTTTCTTTTTTCTTTTGTAATAGGGTCTCACTCTGCAGCCCTGGCTGGCCTGGAACTCACTATGTAGACCAGGTTAGCCTCACACTCATAGGAATTTGCCTGCCACTGCCTCAGAGTGCTGGGAATAAAGGTGTGCACCACCACACTGAACTATGGGAATTAACTTCCATCACTGACAAGATTTGTTGGGAGGGAGGGAGGGAAGGAGACAGAGAGGGGGGGGGGTTGATAGGTTCTGTCCCAAGCTGTTCTTAACCACTCCCACTGGTCTTTTCTCCAGAGGCAACAATTATCAGCTTCCTGTGTACCCTTCTAAAAGATATGTGGTACACCTGAAACAAAACACACAGGTATTTCTGTAGGTCAAGGAAAGGTGGCCCCTTGCTGCCATGCCCCCTTGTTGTCCTCATTCCTTTAAGAACACCTTTGTTCTTGGTGACTGCCACACTAGGCCAAACTTCACATGACAAACATGACTTTAATTCCACCTCTCACTGCCTCATTCTGTCCACTGTTGCAAACAAACAACACAGCATTACATATATAACCCAGCAGGTCTGCATTCGGCCGGCAGGCATGTGTCTGCCTGAGTTAACTTCTGGCTGGCTAGTCAGAGGGTTAAAGTGTAGACTGGTTGGCCAGATTTGCTGACACCAGCCTGTCATCCAAGCGCTTGGGAAACTGAGGCAGATGATTGAAAATTCAAGGCCTATCTGGGTTAGAGAATGAGTTTAAGGTCAGGCTGGGCATCTCTGAGAACCTGTCAAAAAATGAAAAATTAGGGCTCAGCAGGCAAAGCTGACTGTCACTAAGCCTGAGGACAAGAGTTTGTTCCTCCAGCCCCACTCCCAAACATTGACCTTCACACTCACACAGTAAGTAGCATGTATGCTCACACACAGAAACTAAAATGTGAAAAAAATCAAACAAACAAACAAACAAACAAACAAAAAAAACGGAAAGAGGATGTAGCTCTGTGGTAGAGTGCTTGCCTAGAATGTGCAAGGCCCTGACCTCAATTCCTGGTATGGGGAGGGGGGCAGAGCAGGACAGACAAGACCCTCAAGACAAACACCACAGGCTCACACCGGGCAGCCACCCTCCAAGCCCCAAGTGTTTACAAACTTCTGAGCCTGGCCGATCCTACAGAGGCAGATCTCCCACCAAAGTTTAAAACTTCCTCCCTTCTTTATGACAAGTGACAATGAGCATTTGAAAAAGAACAAGGTAGTCTGCTGCTTGAATGCTTAACGGAATATTCCGACTTAATAAATAATACAGGGATGGGGCTGAGCTCGGTGCTAGAGTATTTACCTAACATGCTAGCATCACACAGACAGACAGACAGACAGACAGACAGACAGACACACACGAGAGAGAGAGAGAGAGAGAGAGAGAGAGAGAGAGAGAGAGAGAGACAGAGACAGAGACAGAGACAGAGACAGAGACGTGGGGGGAGAATCAACATCAATTGGCTAGGTCTGGTCCCTCTTCTGTGCATAATGAATTTTCACTGACTCCCTAACCATTGGTCAAACTAGGAAAATGGCTCAGCTGATAACTCAATTGCCTTCTTGTAGAACCCAGTATCATCCATTTTCAGTATGAGGTGAACTGAGAATTCATCCAGGAGCCACAGATAAGCAGGGGCACTCGGTGGCTGGCAGCTGCTTGTCTCAAAGCTCTGAGGTCAGAGTTACAGGCAGTCTGTTATTTAATCAATCCCATATTCAGAAAAGGGGGCAATTTTAAGCCCCCATAATATTCATTAGATAAGGTCTTAGATCCTGTGCTGGCTGGTCTATGTCAAACTGACACACAAGCTAGAGTCATCTGAAAGGAGGGAATCTCAATTAAGAAGATGCCTCCATCAGATCCAGCTGTAAGGCATTTTCTTAACTAGTGATTGACTGGGAGGGTGCAAGCTTTGATGAGCAGCCAGTAA